TCTTCGCTGAGGTAGACCCCCAGGAATTTAAAGGAGGAATCTCTCTCCACACAGCTCCCCTCGATGTAATGTATGGCGGGTTCCTCTCCTTTCAGAAGTCTAACACCATCTCCTTTGTCTTGCTGATGTTCAGGTGCAAGTTGTTTTCTAGGCACCATGAGGATAATTTTTGAACCTCCCCCCCTGTATGCTGTTTCATCTCCATCTGTAATGAGACCCAATATGGTAGTATCATCTGCAAACTTAATGATCACAGTGGATGGGTCAGATGATACACAGTCAGTGAGAACAGGTAGGGCATGAGCACACAGCCCTGTGGGAAGCCAGTGCTAAGCTTCAGGGAGGTGGATGTGACAGACCCAGCCCTCAGTGTTTGTGGTTGGTCCCTCAGAAAGTCTTTGATCCAGTTGCAGGTGGAAGAGGGAAAATCCCAGTCAGTCAGCTTTTCGATAAGGATGCTTGGCAGAATAGTATTGAAGGCTGAGCTGTAGTCAATGAAAAGCATCCTGACATAGTTTCTGGGTTTCTCCAGATGGCTCGCTACAGAATGTAAGGCAGTAGCTATGGCGTCGCCTGTAGACCCGTTCCCCCTGTAGGCAAACTGATGTTTGTCAAAGTCTGGTGGGAGGCATGTCCTAAGGTGTTGGAGAACCAGTCTTTTGAAGCATTTCATCACTACTGACATTAATGCGATAGGTCTGTAGTCATTTAGGCAGTTAATTGCTGTTTTCTTAGGGACTGGGACAATAGTGGCTGCTTTCAAGCATGTTGGAACACAGGCCATTTGCAGGGAGATGTTAAAGATCCTTGTCAGGACCCCTGTTAATTGACCACTATCCCCACTTTACCACTATCCCCAGCACCCCATCTGGACCTGCAGCTTTACTGGGATTCACAGCCTTCAGTGGAGCTCTCACTTGACATTTGTATAGGGTGAGTGGCTGGGAATTAGAAGGCTGGCAGGCAGAGGCTATGAGGTCTGGTCTTTTCATCTCGTAGCGGGCGAAGATGTTCAATTCCTCTACCAACGAGGCGTCAGCATTGACCGTGTTCCTCGTGTATAGTTAGTTATAGTGCTGCAGTCCCTGCCACACTTGCTTCAGGTTGTTATCTGCTGGATGGTTCTCCACCTTATATTTGTATAATATATATAATATATAATATTATATAATATAATATATATAATATATCTGGAGCACAATGGCACTATGGTAAAAATATAATATGCTTTGCCGCTTCCACAGGAGCTATTTGGGGGGGCAATGTCTCATAGTTCAGAAATAAGGTAGGCTGGATGGCAGATCAAGCAGACTTGGATAAGAATGAAGGAGAATTGGTCCCATAAAATGGTAAGGAACTGGCTTAACTACTGTAGGATTAAAATTGTTATGAGGGAAGATGGAACTGATGGGAAGACCTGGTTTGGTTATGTGCATGCAGAATACATGCCAGTCAAACATTGTTTCATGAAGCACAAGTGCTGGTGTTGACAAGGCTGTTTTAAGCAATGCAGTATTAATACCTAATTTTAAATCCTCCTTTTTTGTTTTTTGTTTATATTTATTGGACACCTAGGTCCAATTTGTAATCTTAGTTACATGTCTAGAGGAATGTTTTTTTTAACCAAAGTTTCTTTGAGGATGATACTTTCTATATGGAGACTTAAAAGGTCCTTGGGCAGATCTTTGTTACCACTAGCTTATCTTAGGAGTGATGTCTAGAAGTAGTTTTGTTCTTTTCTGAAATGACTTAGCAGAGTACCTATGTCTTACATTAGGCAACAAAGACTTGATTTTTAAATCATATAAATATATTTTAGATATATTTGAATCGAGTGAACAGGATATTTGGAGTTTCAAATTTCCTTAAGTTATTTGCAGTTAATGGGCCAGTTGTTGTATTTATTCCTGTTGTATTTTTGTCTATATGGAGATTAGAATTTGCAGCAAATGGCACAAAACCTGAATGGCAGACTTAAATTGGTTCGTAATATTTGTATACTACAAAAACTCTTGTCATGACCTTTAACTACCCTGTTTCTCCAACAATATGGCCTCCCCCAATAGGAAGTCCCAGCATGTTTTATAGGCATGAAATGAAATTAAGCCCCAACCCCCCAAATTAAGGCCTATATTAAAACATGCGAAATGGGGGGAAATGGCGGAGGGGCTTGCTGTTAGGAAGTACTTTTGTTGCACACCCGGATATGGTGCTGCCTGCGTTGACCCTGATACAAAGGCCTGATACAAACGCCAAGGTCAACATCCAAGCTGTCGCCACCTGCCCTAAGATGCAAGGGGGGGGGAAATTAAGTCACCCCCGAAAAGATGGCCTAGCCGTTTTTTCGGGGCTCAAAAAAAAATAAGACCCAGCCTTATTATATGAGAAACACGGTAGGTGAAATGATGCATCAGATGGTAACACTGTTTTTTAATTAAGGTACCTCAATTTGGCTAATTTACAGAATATATCAAAAAATCCAGGACTCATGACTTCCAAGGGAATGAAATGTGGGAAAGCTTCAGTGCTATGGGCTACTGCTGCAATCATGTGATATTCATTTTCAACAAGCAGACAATTCCCCAGCCAGTCTTACAATCCATCACTCTTTCTCCCACCCTGCAGTAGCCACTTACCTGTCTGCTGGAAGGAGAAGAGAAGGGGAAAGAAGGGAGGGATAGGGAGGAAGGAACCCCTGTATATACCTTTCCTAGCTCATGCTGATCTCCCCAAAACCTTCCCTGATCTGTCCCACCCCATGTGCCTTTCCCGAAGCATGCAGCATCTCTTGTGCACCCTGCCCGATATGCACTACTCCCATGAGCTTACCCCAAATATGTGATGCCCTATGGGCATCCCCACATAACCTTCCTGACCACTATCTCCCCCACACGATGTCCCTGACTAGCATAGCACCTCTTTCACACTCTCAAGCATTTCCAGGTACCCTTCCTAACCCATGTCATCTGCCCCCTGACATGCTCCCCCAACTGGCTAGGCACTTCTCAAACAGGTATGTCCTTTGCTATAGCCAATTGAATATAAATGAACTTACATTTAAATTCTGTTTCCAATAACAGCTTAAGCAACATTTATACGCTATCACCAAATGCTTTAAAGTGTCTAAAGATAATTCTGGAATATTTTGTGTGTAGTAGAGTTCTAACTGAATTGGACAGGAAATATACAATTATTTAAAGATATTTATCTTGCTTAACATTAATGCAGTGAATATTTATTAAAATCATAATGTTTAAATCATTATCATATATAGCTACATCTTTTGGCATCCTTGCATGGTTTAGAAATAACCAGAAGCTAAGTTGGTTTCCTGGAATCAAGAATGGGAGCTTTTGTGCATGTTAAATATATTTCTCTTTAAAAACTTTAATACTTTTTTTTTATAAATATAGTTTATTAATTTTTACAATTAAAACCAGTCACAATACATACACAAATAAGCAAAAGAAAGAAAAAGAAAGAAGAGAAAAGAGGAAGAGAGGGAAAGAATTTTGAGAAAAGAAAGAAAAAGAAAGGGGGAAGAAAGAAAGAAAGAGGTTACAAGATAAAAAGTATTCTTATTTTAACAGTTTGCAAGATCATCTTTTGTTTTCATAACCTTAACTTGTGTCATATAACCACACCTGTTTTTAACTTATATCGCTACTTCGTTATTATGGGTTGATACTTTTCTTTTATGCCTTATGATATATAATTTATCTTTGGTCAATCCAATTATACCAACAATTCCAGCTATCGTAGTATAGTGAAGTGTCTTTGTTTTTTAGCGCCAAAGTCAATTTATCCATTTCTGCGCATTTTGAGATTTTTTCAATAATCATTTCTTCTGATGGAATTTGATGTTGTTTCCAAAAAAACTTTAATACTTCAAAAGAAACCATGCATTTTAAAAGTTATTATAAATATGAAATATATCGTTTATTCCCTTAGGATAATATTTTTGTTCATTTTGTTCACTGATTAATGTAAAAAGTTAAATTGGATTATTCAGTGCAGGGTCTTAATAAACATGTCTGATCCTTTGAGATTAATTGAAGAATATTTCCTGGAAAATAGATAGATTCGTGCTACTAATATTTGAAGAGTTAGGTTTTGTACTAAGAATTTATATTTTATCCATGGAGATTTGAAAAAATATTTCTGAATTTTTCATGTTATCTGCAGATAAAGTTCATCTTGCTTTTTCCTGTTTGCACTAAATTTCACTTAACTAGAGTACCGAACTCACTAACATTGAATAATAAAATGGTTTATTTGCCATGTTTTCCTGAAAATAAGACCTATCCCAAAAGAAGACCTAGATTGATTTTTATGTGTGCACCTAATATAAGCTCTACCCCAAAATAAGCCCTGGTTAAGATGGTGCCCACTTATTTCACCATCTGGTTGTACAAGGTGGAGTGAGGCGCATGTATAAAAATCAAGCTGGGGGGGGTGGAGCTGCCCCATGCGGCCACTTATTTTAGGACCACCCCAGCCAGGTCTGCCACGCCTTGAAACCTGCCTTGCTGTGATTTCTCCTGTGGCCGGACGCCACATGGGGCATTGCAGCAGGATGCTCCATGGTGCGTCACACTGATGATGTTTGTGACAGGAGGCCACATGGCGCATTGCATCCACTCACATATGAAACAGCACAACAAGCTGTACGGCCTCTTGCTGCGAGCAGCATCACTGGCACAACCTGCCATGCGGCATCCAGAAGAAGTCAGGCAGCAGCGTGACAGGTGTTGGGCCATGGGAGGCCTGACTGCGGTGGTCGTAAGGTAAGCGTGTAAGCCCGAACAACTGGGTCTTATTTTTGGAGAAATTTGCATATTTTTTTATTTATCTTAAATACTTGCATTTATGATAAATGCCATTTTTTGCTTTTCTTAAATTTTAGAGGAAGTGCATATACTTCTTTAAATATTATTTTACTGAAAATTATATATTTTGTATATTGAACATTAAGCTTTATATTATAATTTCATTTCCAGTGCAAAGCAGCTAGTTCGTGGAGAGCCTAATGTCTCTTACATCTGCTCTCGATATTACAGAGCACCAGAGTTAATTTTTGGAGCCACAGATTATACTTCTAGTATAGGTATGTATTTGTTTTTTCATTTTAAACTGAAGTGATCAGTATATTGGAATGGAGAACAAAAGGTTACATGCAGCATTGCACAATCATATTTCTTCTCATTAAGGAATGAAAGAAAATAGAGGAAATCCATTCAGTTGGTAGTTTCCTTTTTTCCTCTTTTATATGATCCATCATGGCTCTCTAG